TTAATTTAGTTAGGTTAGAAAAATAAGGAGCATAGGCTCAGATAACAGCTTTTGCAGATGAACATGAATACTTTGGGATGTGTAAAAACAGTTACTGGAGAAATCATACAGGAAACATTATGTTTTGAAGTAAGTGAAAGTTTGATCTCTTTCCATATCTTGAAAATTTTATTCTTATGGACTTAGTGATAAGATCACACAAATTAAAATTAGCTAAAAGACCATGAAAATTAGGAATGGAAAACAAAAATGTATCAATTTGTGATGGCTCAGCCTCAGTGCTCACATATATAAGATTATATCAGTATGTTCTATCAGTATATATCACTATATTATATCAGTGCTGAAAGATAGAAATATGCAAACCATCAAAGGAAGATGCTGTTGGTAACAACGGAATATTCATACCAGTGCAACACCACTTGAACAAATCAGTGTCCTAGCCTGCTTTCTGAGTAGAGTCCAGACAATCTAGAACTACCCACAGCAAATCCATCCACTCAAAATTACCTCTATATCTGCATGAAATTCCCAGAATATACTCTGGGGCACCTCAAACAGTCCTGATCTTGAATGGAGGGAATGCAAAATCAGATTATTTTGATAATTCTTGCATCTTAATGAAATTCCTATGAATTCCTATGAAATTCCTAATGAGTGTTGGTCATAGGCTGCTGATCAAAAGTCTTACAGAAGTAGTAATGTATGAACTGAAGCAAAATTCAATTGCTTTTTTTTCATACTTTTCTATTGGGTAAAAGTAAGGTATCTTATTTATACTTCAATAGTCACATGTTCTCTTCAGTTTGGTAACAAATATGTACAAAGCAAATACTATAACAATATAACATATGAATAGTTTAACTTTTTTTTTAATTTCCTAATGCATCTCTTACATTTTCATCAGTGTTACACTCTCATAGTCTTCTATGGACCATGAAAGTTTGTTAATGGAGATTGACAGGCAAGGTAGCTATTTAGATAAAATACTTTGACATTTAGACCAGAGTGTTCAGACCCCTTTGGTGACAAATAATATGCTATTAACTCAAAAAGAGTAGTTCTTCACCAGTATAGGAAAATATCTTTTTTAAATGCCCTTGTGTCATCAACTGAGATACCCACCGGAGTCTATTATGTTGTTGACAGAATATTTCCATAATTAGAATGTCCAGTGTCTTCTTTTCTATAGCTAGACTGATGCTACTGCTGCTAACACTGAATATCTCTTTACTAACCCAAATAGCCACATTGGTGTAAAGAAGGAAGACCTCTCCAAGAAAGGTCTGTTTAATACCTAGGAGCAAAATAGATTAAAAATCACACTGAAAGGTAACACAGCTTAACATTTCCCAAATTGTCTGTTATTTCATTTGTTACGTTTCAGATTCTTTTGTTTACCAATCCTAAAAATACCAGACTTCTTTTCTCAGGAGAAATGTATAGAAGAGTCTACATTAACCTGCTCTGATGTGTCTGAGGACCCACCAACAGAAATTCTGTAGCATTGTAAAGACCCTAAGTGTCTCCATTGCATCTAGTTCTCTCCTTTCTTTTTGGAGCAAGGATGGTTAGTTTCCTAACAAAGAGCTTTGTTACTCCTTTTATTTATAGAAAGTGTAAGGGCTTCCTCTGTCATCCAGCTGGGAAGACAAATATATCAAAAGCTGCTCTGCCCCATCTGAACATAGGCTGGGATTAACCACCATGTGAAAGTGCTACTCTTTTCACTGACTATTAGAGCTTTGACTGGCAGCTAAGGTTAAGTGAAATATACATCAACCTTTATGTCCAAACTACTCTATGTCCAGTGCCTGTAGAGGGGGTAACAATACTTACAAATTCCTAGATACCTGTAGCTGCGGTAATTTTTGTGGTGATTTGCTAATCAGAAAACACAAATAGTATTTCCTAACAGTGGTCTGAATCCATATTCACCTCTGGAAAATTACCATAAAACCTATGCAGATGACCAAGAACAATAGATAATTTGCCTGAACAACCTTGTACTTCTCCAGGAGGAAATGACAACACAAATATCATGTTATTTCCCAAAGGTTTTTTTTTAAATTACTGTGGGTGAGATTTATACTTCTTCTAGCTTTCTTCTCTCTATCAAACTGAGCTCTCTAGCTAACAGGAAAACTTCAAAAAGGTTTGCATTTACTTTCAGTTTGGATAGGCAGACTGAATTTCAAATAATTTTTACAAAACATTATCCAGCCCTCTAAAGGCTGGATTTAGACCTAACACTGATTTGACCTTACATTACACCTACTGAATTCAGTGGGATTACTTCTGACTTACGTTGGAATAAATGAGATTCATACCTCTGAGGTCTGCAAATGGGAGAAGATTCAATATAAGAACTGCTTATTTTCCAAGATTCCCGACACTTCTGAGTTCCAGCTGGGAATTTCTCGACAGCAACATCTCTCAAGATATCTTGGCACTTCCAGTGTTGGTCAGCTCTCAAAACTCAAGTGGTAAAAAAACGGAAAAGGAAAAAATGCCTAGAAGTATTTCAGAACCTCAATAAAATCTGTATCACATCTGGAAATTAGGCCATTTTTGCAAGAACACCTACAGATAAGATAGAGTGAACAGAGCTGTTTAAATTCCCAGCTGATTCTCTGTCCCTAATTCTATTCTTGTACTCAAGTCTCCCTGTAGTCTATTGTTGAGTGCAAAATGATGTTTCATTTCAAGAAATATAGTGACTCAATGACCAGAGTTTAGTTCCTTGCTTTCAAAAGTGCTTTTATGCAATGGAGAAATGAAAGGTACAAAAATAAAATCATGTTATATTTTTCAAATCTGTTCACTTGCATTATGTTGAGGATTTAACCAGTCCTTCCCATGATGTCTAAAGGAGGACAGCAAGGAACTATCACTGTGCATCACAGAACTCTGAAGTTCACCTGAGTTATATTTCTCAGCAGAGATTCACTGAAATTCATATTCAAAAACACTGTCAAGTGTTTTTGTAAAAGATAAAACATCAGCTCTTGATAATCAACCAAAACTTTGCATACACTTTTTTCCAGACAATTATCTCTAGCAAACAGATAACATTTACTGTTGAGCAATATATTTTCTTCACTGGCATTTTCAATGTAGAAGCAGATTATTATAACTGCAGAAGCAAAACAAGAAAAACTGTTTTCACCAATTTTGTGTGACACTCATGATTAACTAATTCAATTTTCATTGTCTCTCTTTGGATACTTTCTGTTCTTTATGTCTATTACTGAACTATGAAATCTGGCCCAGACTTTAATGGTTTAGAATCGTGTTTGCAGAAGAACCCACTATTTTACTGGTGAAAACAGCTTGAATAAAAACCTATTCTCTTTTTTACATATTTGGAAACAACAATTACTGAATTTCTTCCACTGACTTAAATTGCCATTCTAAAGCTCTTTCCAAGTCAAATTATATTTTACCTGTACTTTTTATTCCCTGATGAAAATGTCCACTTCCTTCTCTACATTTTTGACTGAAAATCATCTGATGACATAACCAGTCAGTTCAAGTTTTGTCTGAAAAAAACCCCTGAAATAATAATAATAATAAGCAGTAACAACAGTTGTAATAATGTATGTATATATATATTCCAACAAGATAAACCATAAAATGCACCAAAAATTGTGAAAATGTATTTTGTTTTAAAGGTTCTGTCAGCTACAAAATTATTTATAGCCAACTTAACTCTGGTATCATTGGAAAAAAAATTATGAAAAAACATTCTTCTCCGTACTGCCTGTTTTTGGAAATTATTTTATGGAGAGAAAAATTAATCTCCCAGCCTTTTGTCTATGTCTAGAAAAAGCAAAAGTGATCCACTTTCAACCTGCTTTAGCCACTTGACATCCCTCATCCTCACACCCAAAATTCAGATGCTTAATGTAGTCTCTGGCTATAGAGTTGTAAGTTTTCCTACAAAACCAGGATGCTAAATGAGCTAATGTTACATAGGAAAAACATAATACAATATGTAATCACATATGCAAAAAGACTTAAGAAAAATTGTCGTGTCACACACTAGCCCCATTATACCATTTGTTTCCCTAGTGATATCTCTTATGTCAGCACAAGTGTCATGCCTTCTACTGAACAGAAAGGCAGCCTTTAAAACCTGTTTGCCAAAAACAATCTTCCACGAGCTTTACAGCAAATGATCTTTGCAAGCCCTAGACTCAAAGAAAAGAGAAAAGATAAAAAGGGGCTGTGAGTCAAAGACTCTGGAAAATGGAGTGGATTTCAACTCACAGAGCAGTTATTAGACTAACTGTTAGGTTGCAGTGTTGTGAGTTTTACTTACTTAAGACACAGATGCTGAAATCATCTCAGAATTAAAATAAGAAAAGTTTCTTTCCAGTTCTAAGAACTTCACTTTCTTAGCCTCTTATCCAAGAGGATGGAGAAAAGCCCTGGTTATTCTGAGGGCAGCAAAATAACCACATTCAAGCACAAGAATTAAGTTGGCATAAAATAGTCATGAATATTCTGTATAAAAGCTCTTTGCCTGTGCTTCCTGTTAAAACTGAGGAAAATATTTAAATTTGTAACTTATCAAAACAGCTTCTTGTTTTGGATGAATGAGCAAGTGGAATTTTGCCTATATGTGTAAAAAAATCAATTTCCCTGCCCTAATCTTTTTTCTGCTTTCCAGCCAAACAAAGTATCAGAAAGCGACCAACTATTCCAACTGGCAAATTCTCAGTGCTGACAAATTTTCATGAGGCGAGACATCCTAAACGCTGGGCTAAACTATCATGGTCGAAGTATAGTTTTAAACAATTTACCTAAACTCAAACATCTGCAGACTGAAATGAGACCTCTGTTTTATCTCCTGGATCATCACAATGTGGAAATAATTTGGTTTCTGAAGCTGGATTGTGTTGGCATTTTAGTCAAGCCACCCACTTCTCTGTTTCAGTTTTTCCATTAACATTTCCATTTTTCTATTCAGAAAATATAACTGTGAAGTCATTTACCTCTACAGCTATTATTCATTTTTCCGTGATCAATTCTCAATCTTCATCCTTCAGGTCTTCCCAGCCTGTTCTCACTCCTTGTCTTTTATGTGAGCTTAGCTGACTTCTCATTCCCTATGACAATCCCAAGTTCCTCAGCATCTTTCCCACAGATCCTGCCTGTATTTCGTCTTGATTTTCATGCCATAAGTCCCAAGTCACACACCAGCAATTATCTCTTTGCCATGTGACTCTAACTTTCGTTTAAGCTTTGTAGAGCTGTCAAGTCCTCTGGGAAGCAGAGACTCTCTGATTGCAAAACCTCAATGAGAAGAGCTGTGTGGCTGCTTTGGTAGGCTAAACTGATGATGGATGAAGGAAAAGTCTCATGTCAGTTGTGGATTTAAATATAAACAAGAATTACCAAGCAAGCTGATACACAGAAAAATCACATTACAACATAGATTTCCAGTTAAACCATGACTGACAGGAGACACTGGGTCATTCCCTGTCACAAATGGGAATGTCACACTCCAACCCAGAACAGTATTTCCCAATACTCTCTGGCACTAAAACCGCAGTTTAAAGGGCAACAGATCCAAGGCTGCTTTCCTAACCTTGAAAAGAGGGTGGTGATGTCCCTGTCAAACTCTGATTGATTCAGCTTTATAAAAGTGTCTCAATATTTTATGTGTCTTAAAATCTAGCTTGAGGATCTAGTCACAGAAAAAGCTCACAAAGTAAATTTTACAGGCTCCTACCTTTAAAAGATTTTTTAAATAAAAAAAAGACAATGGTTTAAAAAAATGTCATGATTTTGTCAGCTCTTGAGCACTTTCAGCTGTCAGTACTGATGCTACCCTCTCCCTTTTCAGCTGAATCTATCAACATTAGATGCAAGCAGTCAGTGTGTTTGCAGTTTTGTGACTTTTTTATGCTTAGGGGAGTATTCCCTAGATATTTACTCCTTTCCACCTACGTTGCCATCACCAGCCACCTAGAGAAACAACTGCTGACAAGCACCAACAGCTTTGGGCATAAGTGAAATAGATAGTTGCCTTGTACTGAAAATAATCGACTTTGCTGTAATCTTTGCCTAGGTGTTGTCTTGTCTAAGTGTTGAAATAACAGAATTGTAGGACAGGGTCACAGGAGGTACCCAACCCTGTATGAACTCCTCCTTTGCAATACAGTGTTGTAAAGTGGTAACAGCCTGATGCAAAAGAAATAGGAATAAGAGTTTTTACCTCGGCCTCCCTTTACTTCGCTAGCAAAAGAATTTCAAATCTATTGATTTCATGCTTCCCCATTATTTTATATTGCCAGCAAAGCTGATGAGCCTTGAGTCAACACTTCTAACACTATGATAGGCATTTCTATAGCATTTTAATCTATGGAAGAGTGAAAGAGTACTGCAATAAAAATTAAGAAGGAAAACTGGACAGATCATCAGCTTGTGGTCCCAGGGAGAGCAACACATTGAGCTTACATTAGAATGGAAAGAGATTATTTTGAAATTAACCCACTTGATGGTAGGTTTCCACAAAACAATTCTCACTGCTGGCAAAATCAGTCGAAAAGAAGAACAGCAAGTTGGCACATGTTGAATTTTAATTGAAATGTGAAGCAGCAATTGTTCAAAACATCAAGCCTTGTATTTATGTCCAGGAGAAAAATGTTTTGTGAATTTTCCCAACAGAATATATAGGAAGATTGAATTAAAAAATAAGCATCTTTTCCACACAAACAAGCAAACTGTTTTATTCACTTATTAGAACCTCCCCAGATTCTGGTGGATCCTAAAGCCCGTTTCTGACTCAGTACTAAACTAAACAGTCATGCATCCTGGACTTTTGTTTTGTCATCAGCTGACACGTCTGTTTATTTATTTAAATAATAACCTACCAATAAAATAAATAAGTAAATAAATAAATAAAATTAAAGAAAATATTATCCTAGTGCATATTCTATGAAATTTGCCAAATTACCTCATCATTTTCAAAAAATAAAAGTTTCAGTGGCAAAAAGTTTCTTGGTAATAAATCTATACAAAACCCTATAAAAATAACAACTGTTCCTGACAAAACCCTGAAGCAAAATTAACGCTTAAGTACAATTTTAGCAGCTGCAACCTCTAAGCAATACTGAGTTGATGATCAAAAATATCAATTAGACGCATTTTATATTTACTGAAACAGGGAGGCTTCTGGCACTCGTACTTGCAGCCTAGACAGAAAGTATGATGGCACACAAAGGTCAGCTCTTCTGAAGATGTGAATCACAGAATCATGGAATGGTTGTGTTTGCAAGGGATCTCTGGAAGTCATCTGGCCCAACACCCTTGCTTAAGTAGGGCCACCTAGAGACAGTTTCCCAGGACTGTGCCTAGACAGGTTTGAATATCTCTAAGGATGGAGACTCCACAACATCCCTGGGCAGCCTATTTCAGTGTTCAGTCACCCTTACAGTAAAAAAAGTGTTTCCTGATGTTCAGAGGGAATCTTCCATGTTTCAGTGTGGGTCCACTGGCTCTGGACTTGGAACTGGGCACCACTAAAAGGATCTCTTTGCACCCTCCCTTCAGATATTAATTCATTCACAAGATCCTCCTGCGCCTTCTCTTCTCTAGGCTGAACAGTCACAGATCACTCAGCCTTTCCTCACCTGTGAGGTGTCCCTGTCCTTTCATCATCCTTGTAGTGTTGAAGTCTCTGCTATGGCCTTGTCTTTTTGTAAGGGTGAGCCCAGATTTGGGTACAGCACTACAGGCACACCTCATCAGTGCTGAGTAGAGGGGAAGGCTCACCTCCCTTGACCTGCTGGCAGTATACTGTTTAATGTAGACTAGGATACCACTCACCTTCTTTGCTGCAAGGGCACATTGCTGGCTTGTGTTCAACCTGTTGTCCACAAGAATCCCCAAAGATTCCTGCCAGGACCCCTAGGTCTTCTTTTTCCATACTTTCCAGCTGTCTGCTTCTCCATGTATAGTGGTGCATAGGTTGTTTTTTCCCCAGGAAAATTCTGTCTTGCAGGCAATGCTAGTATGAATTCAATACAATTTCATTTAGCCAGAGTCTTAAAATTATGTGCTGCTATGATAGTATTACTTTATTTGCAGGAGTCCAATAGGGGACACTGAGGCATGCTGCTGAATTAATGATGAGGAAAAAATATCACAGACAAAGAAAACAGAAATATTTCAAACTAAGTCAGGCACCTGTTTCTATGTCTAAAGGAAGGGAGGCAAGGAAGCACTCTGGAAGTTAGTTACCAAAGGACTTGGGACTGAATACAGAACCAGAAGTGCCACTGTTTGGCAACCACTGCTCAGCATAAGGTACACTGTGTTTGCATCCACTTCGGAGTTCAGGCAAAATCTGCTTTCACAATAGGTTCCTATAATGAAGAGTTCAAATCAATATACACTTTTGGCTGTACCAGAGTACTGGCAATCATAACAAGTAGCAAGGGATAGGCCTATCGTGTTGTCTGGGAATTTGAAACCTAGTTCTGTGTATATTTTTGGAGGATAATTATTATTCCTTCTCTTCTTCCATCTCAACAAACTATCTGGAGACACGAGTCTGTCTTAGAAAACACAGTAATCAGCTGGCTGGGTTCAGTTTTTGCATAAATCCTACATTACCATTCTGCTAACAGCTCCCTGTAACTGCAGTTCAGATACAACTCCATACAGAAAGTATGCACCAAGACAGGTACAATCTGCAGCTCCAAGCCAAGCGACGAGGAGAATCACAAGGTGAATTTTACAACCTCTCAGTTTTCCATAAAGCTAAGCTTCTCATGTGCATAGATCTGCATACAACTACAGGTACATAGCTGCTGCTACTACATGCAACATAAGAAATTTTCAGATAACAGAATTTCTTCGTAGTCATGCACGTCAGCAAGCAGAATTGCCTTTTAGCTTTTTCCTATTACTAGGAGCAGGATCTAGAAACGACGAATTGATGAGTTAACCTGGGAGCAAAGGACTGCTTTATCAATTGTCTCATTTAATCTAGAGGGAATCAATCAGTATCACTACCCTCAAGCTTTCTTGTCAGCATTTCTCCCTCCTACCCAGCCCCCTTTGCTTAATTCCTCTCCAGTACTCCACTCAGTTATGAAGTACTAAATCCTCACATTTATTTAGATTCTCAATTTCCTGGGAAAAAAAATGGCAAGCTGGCACTTAGTATCTTTGAGGGACTGGTTCCTCAACTCTGAATGTCCATTTGCTAACAAGTAAGAGAAATGTGAGCAATGGAAACTAGAAAATATTTAGCAGAAAAAAAAGAAAAAGAAAGATTATATTTTACTAAGATTTCTGCTCTTAATGAACTGATATTGAGTGTTTATTTTTCATTTCACAATAACTAAAGAAGCAGAACCAAATACCCTTTTTTATCATAATGAATTCATCTATCCAAGCAGCTGTTTACAGACAGATAGCTTTAGGAGGGAAAAACCTCTGAAATGCTTTAAAAAGATTAGCAAAAGACAGTGCCCCTAGTGCAAAACAGTTTAGTTATTTTTCTTAGATTTTTAAATATACAGCACATAAAGCAATTTTTCCATTAATTGTAATGGAACTACTCTAGACAATATTCAACAAATAAAAATGGTTTGTTATTTAGACCTTATAACAACAACTTACTGGCACAGCAGTGAAAGAGAACCTGGCCTCTCTCTCTGATCTGCTGAAGAACAATAAGAAAACAAGCAAGGATGGAAAGCTAAGTTTATGAACCACTTTTAATACAGATACATACTCGTGTGATACATAACTTATCAGCATTCCACAAAAAAAATTACCTCAACAAATTTCACAGCACAAAGAAGTCACACTTTCTTGGAAAGGGTAGTTCTGGTATGGTCCCTAAGGAGACCAACATCCAAAGAATTTGCAAGAAGAAACAGGCTTAACTGAAAGTCCTGTAAACTGAAAACAAAATTCTTACAGATGGCTTTTAAAATTGCTTTAGTCATACCCACATAGTCAACTAGATGCTCATTAAATAGACTGCCAAATAATATCCATCTAGTAATGTGGCCTGTGTTACCTGTGCTACTTCCTCAGAGGAAGTCCCTGTTCCCTACTCTGCTACTTCACATTGTGCTTGAGTAACACATGCTGGGGCAGTTACATTTGCAAAATTATATTCCACCTGTCAATCAATACCATTATCGAAATATTATATACCAAACCCCACATTATTTTATCAATTTGTTGCTGTGCTTTCAAGCGTGCTAGAATTCACCTGACTACATATTTGGGAGAGAAAAATATATTTAATCATCCTACAAAATTATTCAAAGCAAATAACCAGAAAT